TTCTTTGGCCAGTAAAAGTATTTTAATGATTTATCGAAGGCAACACGTTTTTGATGGACATTAAGGGAGTCTACATGGGTTACAAAGGCCAGCACATTGGATAAGACGATGGACTAATGAATGAGCTTACTCGGATCAAGGGGGTCGGAAAGGAAGGAAGGAAGGAAAGGGAAGGGAAGTTAAACCATTATTTGTCCTACCTCAGGCCCTGTTCGTCTAGGAACTTCACGCACAAAGAGAATGAAATAAGCCCTGAACAGAAGAACAGACTGACCGGAAGGAGGCAGACAAAGGAACAAGGAGATGACGGTGGTTTTGTAGCCATCGGTGGCAGAGCTGGAAATAGAAGGGCTCTCCATGACCCCAGTATCCTACTCCCTGCACAGTGCTGTCTTGCAAACGTGATATGCTCTGGCTGTGACAAGAATGAGGGAGAAAACTTGTTCTCCTTTGCCTCTGAGGATAGAACAAGAAGCAATGGGCTTAAACTGCAGCAAGGGAGGTTTAGGTTGGACATGAGGAAAAACTTCCTACCTGTCAGGTGGTGAAGCAGTGGAATAAATTGAAGAGCAGGTTGGACACCTGTCCGGGATGGTCTAGACAGGGCTTGGTCCTGCCGTGAGGGCGGGGGATGGGGCCTGATGACCTCCCGAGGTCTCTTCCAGTCCTAGTGGTCTGTGACTCTACTCTGCTGCCGTGCATTTGAGGGCTCAGAGGGTGAAAACTGGGGTTTCCGTAGGCACCTAAGGGAGCTGGAATATCTCACCTGGGTTGACACTCTCCTCCTGTTCCATCCCAGCTCAAACATGGGTGGCGTTTGCCCTCACAGCAGGAAGCGGGTGGCAGTGATTGACATGGATGCACGCTGAAGTGACGTACCCGGGAACGCCGTCCATTCAAACCGGACAGGGAGACCGCGTTCTGCGGGGCTTGAAAATTGGGACGGTTGTTCTGAGCCCCTGGCACGAAGGGGCCTTTTTATCACGTTGCCACTCGGACTCCCTGGTGGATCCCGCAGGGGAGGATGCTGAGAAACACAGGAGTGTGTCTGATGTGCGCACAAACAAGCCCAGAGCACCCCCTGGAGATCAACGGCAAACTGGAATGTGTAGCCGAGAGCTGTAGGAAAAGCAAACACAGCTGGGGCCCTAAGGGAGTTAGGCGCCCAACTCACATTCCCAGTTTCAATCAATAAAACCCTGATTAGCACATGTTGTATTTTACCAAAGCTACTGAGTTTGGGGCACCCTGACCTTTAATTAGGTTCACCATTATTTATGGTCCAATTAACCCACAGATGGTGAAAGCAGATGGGACCATAAGAACGGCCAGACTGGATCAGACCAAAGGTCCATCCAGCCCAGTGTCCTGTCTGCCAACAGTGGCCAACGCCAGGTGCCCAGAGGGAGTGAACAGAACAGGGAATCTTCAAGCAATCCATCTCCCCTCACCCATTCCTAGCTTCTAGCAAACACAGGTTGGGGGTACCATTCCTACTCATACTGGCTTTAAGTATTGGTGGACTTATGCATATATTTAGTTTTTTTTAACTCTGTTAAAGTCCTGGTCTTCACAAAATCCTCTTGCAAGGAGTTTTTCCACAGGTTGGTAGAGCTGTCTGAAGAAATAGTTGACATTAGTTTGAAATTTGTTATAGTATCTACCAGAAGACTTATCCAGCATTGCTCAGGTCCTTCAGGAAGGGGGCCTTGGGTGTGGAGGAGTGCAGGACTGAGGGATGGGGGGCTCTGAGCAGTGTGTGAAGGTGCAGGAGTCAGTGCAGAGAGGTGGGAGAGGGCTCAGGGTAGTAGCAGGAGGCTCGGGGAGAAGGTGGGGGCTCAGGGTAGACGGTGAAGAAGGCTGGCAGAGCATCCCTGGGACAGGCTGGGAAGGTTTTTGCTGCACAGCATGCCGGCCGGCACTCACTGGGGCTGGCCCGGGATGGTAGGGGACGTGCTGCCCAGCCATCAGATTCTCCATGGGGCTGCCTTGGGTAAAGAGTGGCACAGGCATCCTATTGGCCTCTCCCTGGAGTCAGCCCGGATTGGTCATGCACCATGTTTGGTGGCTGCTCCATGGGGATAGACCAGGGTGGGGTGGGGCTGCATGGCATGGTGACCCAGGGACGGCCTGGGCTGGCAGGGGCTGTACAATGGCCAGCAGTTGTTCCCTGGGGCAGGCGGGGGTTGGAGGGATCATGCAGCTGGCCACTTTCTGCCCCCTTGTGGTCATAGCTCAGTATCACTGTCCCGGCTATCACACCCCTTCCAGATATATCCCCTTGTCCTGGCACAACCGAACCTTGGCCTGGCTTAAAGCGAGCAGAAGAGGAAGCTGCCTGCCGAATTTGGTGGCCCTCGCTCTTATAGTTTAGGAGGAGTTCTTGGACAAACAGCCGCACAGATGGATGGACAATCGGACAGACAGAGAGGTGCACATTTCTAGAAGAAGAAGGGGAGGAGAGTTGGATTCGATGACCTCCAGAGGTCTCTTCTGTAACCAGTCATACACGTCCCCCCGCTCCTCCTCCCCACTGGCTGGACATACCCCTCTGTTTTTGCCTTTTGCTTGACCCCTGAGCTCTTAGTCACGATTTATGTGAAGTTCTTATCATGCCTTTGGTATCTTAACCCATAGGCTATGTCTAGACTGCAGGCTTCTTTCGAAAGAGGCTCTTTCGAAAGCATCTTTCGAAAGAGCCTCTTTCGAAAGATCGCGTCTAGACTGCAGGCGGATCTTTCGAAAGAGAAATCCGCTTTTTCGAAAGAGAGCACCCAGCGAGTCTGGATGCTCTCTGTCGAAGACGGCCTCTTTACATTGAAGAACGCCTTCTTTCGAAAGAGGAACTTTCGAAAGAAGGCGTTCTTCCTCATAAATTGAGGTTTACCGCCATCGAAAGAAAAGCCGCGTTCTTTCGAAATAATTTTGAAAGAACGCGGCTTGAGTCTGGACGCAGGGGAAGTTTTTTCGGGAAAAGGCTACTTTTCCCGAAAAAAACCCTGAGTTTGGACACGGCCATAGTGTTTACATTGGGGCCTTTTTTTCGCATGTCAAAAATTCAATTTATTGTAGGTGTCTGGTAACTTACCTAGAAACCACGTTGCTCATGAATATGCGTGTGACCTGTGAAGAGTGTGTGTCGGGGGTTGAATGGGAAATACCCAACCAAAATGGCTGTGTAGGCTCCGTGATATTTTAATGCAGACAAAGACCCTGGAAGCAGATAAATTCACTGAGAAGCGGCCAGAAAATCTCTCTCTCTCCTGGACAAGATGTAACATCCCAGCAGAAGCCTGGGACCAGCTTGGAGGAAGTGAAGCCTCCTGACGATCCGAAGGGATCTCCTAAGGAACCTCATGGCCGAGTCTTCGGGAAGCGGACGCCAGCCACCAGCAAAATCCAAAGTAATCCACACCGCACTTACACATCCAAACTGCCAGCGTGACTGTGATGTGTGTGTGTGTGGCTCACCTTACTCTTAAGAATCGGTGCCAATAAATAATCCCAAAAGCCATACAGCTCCAATCCACCCTTGTCCGGCTTTGTTCCTCAGTAGGTCTAAGGCAGTGCAACTTCTTCCAACCCTAATCTTCTAAGATCAGAAGAAGAGGAATCAAATCAATGCAGAGGTTCGGTGTCATATGGACCTCTGTGCCAGGTCATCAGCGTCCAGCGACAACGCACACCTTGAATACATTACCTAGTAAAGACACAGCTGCTAGTGAAAAAATCTTTGGGGCATCGTTTCTCTGTTTCCCTTGCTGTTGGCTTTTGGGATATTGGCCAATTGTCTTGCTGGGCCAGATCTCCTGGTCTTCTCCAGCCCAGGAACAGAGCTTGAGATTAAATAAAAGTGACTTTATTAGGTACAAGCAGGAGGCTTTAAGTGGCTGCAAGTGAGAAGAGGCAGAGCAAAGTAGATCACGGATCTAAAGTAACAGAAAACGTGCAGCTAGTTCTAATGCCCTAAAATGTATTGCAATCTCACCCAAGAAGGGTTCTTATTTCAGCCAACACTTCAAGCCTGGGAAGATCCCTTTTCCCTAGGGTCTCTGGTTATCCCCTCGGGTGTGCCACGCCGGCCAAAGCTCAAGGGACATCTCCCATCCCATCGTTTGCGAGATTCCACTTTGGGCGGGAGCTTCTTGTTCTCTCTCCCACCTCCTTATGGATATTTATCTGGCTACACCCTCCCAGTTGGGGTGGTCCCATGTCTTCCTAAGAACAACCCCCGCTAAGACTCAAGGGACAAAATTGGCTCTTCACAGGTGATCACCCTGACATTGAGGGAAACACCCTTGATGGCTTCCATTTGCACACAGGAAACCACACACCACTCCATACCCTCTATCTCCAACTTTATAAATGCCCTTGATGGCTTCCACATGCCCATGGAAAACCGCAAACCATCCATTCTCCCTATTCCTAACTGTACACACCAGAATGATCCACACACCAAAAGCAGATATTCAGACCCAGCAGACTGTGGATTGTGAAAATCGATCAGGTGCATGAGGTAATTTGTTGCAAGCATCTCCGAGTTGTGCCCATTTGTTTGGAATCATAGAACCATAGACCCCTAGGTCTTGCAGAGACCTCAGAATTCATCAAGTCCAGCCCCCTGCCCAAGGCAGGACCAACCCCAACTCAATCATCCCAGACAGGGCTTGGTCAAGCCGGGACTTCAACACCTCTAGGGATGGAGAGTCCACCACCTCCCTAGGCAACCTATTCCACCTAAGTCAATCCATAAGTCCATTTCATAAAGCATGTTTGGGGGGCAGGATCCATTGCACTAAGACTCACCACAAAGTGTCACCAGCTTCTGCTCCAAATGCCCGACACATTCCTACAAACGTGCCCTTAATAGCAAAGGTAAATCAACAGGCTAAAACCAAATCAAACCCTCACTTCATTGTCTCCCCAGGGAGAGGAAAGGAGGCCAAGAGCCACAGGGCATGGGTGTTAATCATTTATCAAATGCATTTCTAGAAGTTTGGAAGTTTGACTGGAACGTGACAGGAAGATACACACGGTTACACCACCATTAGGAGACAACCGTCGACCAAGGACGCATTAACGTACAAAGGATCCGCTGAAATCGTATAATGCACTCAGCCTTCAAAACCTTGCTGATTTTCATTGTTCCCCCATTTCCATCCATCCCGTCGCCTTATTGGACAGTCCCGCCTTTTAGGAGACTCGCTGCTTTCCTGGTGACCCGTCTCAAGGCGTCTCGGACCTCCTTGTTTCTCAGTCTGTAGATGATGGGGTTGAACATAGGAGACACCACAGCATAGAGCACAGAGAAGACTTTGTTTATCTCTGGTGAGTGGTTCCCAACGGGGGCCCCGTAGACCAGAATGACAGTCCCATAGAAAATACTAACGACCAGAAGGTGTGAGGAGCAGGTGGAGAAGGTTTTCTGTTTCCCCATGGTGGAAGGGATCCTAGAGACGGTCAATATAATCTTGTAATAAGAAGTCAGGGTCAGTAGAAATGGGAGAAGGCCCACACAGGCACAGATGATGAAAGACAGCGACTGGACGGCATGTGTGTCTGCACACAACAGCTTGAGCAGAGGCACAAAGTCACAAACGAAATGGTCGACTTCATTGGACGCACAGAACAGGAGCCGGGATGTCCAAACCACTGTGGCCAGGGGAGCCAGGAACCCGGTGACCCAGCACCCTGCTGTTAGCTGGAGGCAAACGTTGATGTTCATCATGGCAGCGTAGCGCAGAGGCTGGCAGATGGCGACGTACCGGTCGTAGGACATGATTGATAGGAGACAGCACTCTGTCACAGTCATTGAACCAAAAATATACAACTGAGCCAGACACCCGGCAAAAGGAATCGTTTCCCGGGGGGTCAGGAAGATCCTGAGCATCTTGGGGGCAACGGTGGAGGTATAGCAGATCTCCAGTAGGGACAAATTGCTCAGGAAAAAGTACATGGGGGTGTGGAGGCCCCCATCGGCTATCACCACTGTGAGAATGAGGAGGTTCCCAGTCACCGTTACAAGGTAAATAACCAGACACGTGGCAAAAAGGAAGATCTGCAGGTCACGGAGGTTACCAAATCCCAGAAGGATGAATTCCGTGATGCCGACCGTGAAGTTCTCCTGGGCGCTACCAGCCATCTTCACCTCTAGGGAAAAGACACGGAGAAAGGTATCAGCACAATCCGGTTATGTCCAAATGGGCATGCCATGGTCAACGGGCTAACTACCCCTCTGCCCCTTATCTGTGGACGCTAAGGACCACTCCTTTCTCAAGGCTGCAACTCACTCTTAAACCTGGACCTGGTCCTAGTGCCTTGTCTACACACAGCGGGCCTGGGTTTTAGGAGCCTGCTTTTCCTTCTTTGAGGAACCGTTGACTAATCATACAGCTACTGCAACCTCCTTAAAACACAGTCGTGTTGCTTAGCAGCCGGAGCAAAGTGTTGGAGCAAAACGGCTTTTCAGACTAGAATGGACGTGCACTTAGGCTCCTCTACTCTTCCCTGGACGGCCCGCTAAATTGGGCTCCTCTCCTGAGTCACGGGAATGGAACCAAAGCAACTTCCTGGCTCAGAATAAGAAATTCCATTCCAAATTTTCTTTCCCAGGTAAATCTGCTTGTTGTAAATAATTCAGAGGGCAGGTAGCAAAGTGATCTATGCCACGCTGGGCACGTGCAAACACTAAGGATTATAATTCAGAGACATGTCAATTTATTGATTTATTCAAAATATTTTACCCCGCCTCTCTATCTAAAATATTCAAGGCTGTGTACATTTTTTTAAACCCAATAAATAAATGTATATAAAGTAAAACACGAGACCCCAAAATGGGGGAGAGGCATAAAACCAGCTAACACACCTTGGCTACGTCTACACTGGCACCCTTTTCCGGAAATGCTTAAAACGGAACAGTTTTCTGTTATAAGTATTTCCGGAAAAAGTGCATCTACATTGGTCACGGACGCTTTTCTGGAAAAAAGTCCAGATCGTCATTTTCGCAATCGGGGCTTTTTTGCAGAAAAGACTACTGTGCTGTCTACACTGGCCCTTTTCCGGAACAGTTTTTCCGGAAAAGGACTTTTGCCCGAACGGGAGCAGCATAGTTTTTCCGGAAAAACACTGACAATTTTACAGCTCCACATGCTGGAGCCCTGTGGGCTGTGTCTACACTGGGCCATTTATTCCGGAAAAGCAGCTGCTTTTCCGGAATAAATGGCCCAGGGTAGACACAGCCCTTAAGAAAAGGGACACACACACACAGACACAAACACACACACACACAAACACCTTGGAACAAAGGGTGCATCTCCACTGCACCGTAACTCAAAATAAGCGACGCAATTTGAGTTGCAAGGATTGCACACCTTATTTCAATGCCATTTCGAAGTCGCTTATTTCATCATTTGGTGCTGTCTACACAGCTTCCGAAACTTCCCTTACTCCCCATCAAATGAGGTTTACAGGGATGTCGGAATAGCAAGCCCGAAATAACGGGAGTGCTGAGAAGACGCAGGATGCTCCGGTATCCCAAAAGAGCATTGCAGTGTAGACGTAGCCAAAGAACACCGGCCGTACTTACAGGATGGGGGTCTGATCCCCGCATGTAGTGACCAACATTCGGAGTTGTACCGGGCAATCAGGGGAACATGACCTCCCCGTGAGATCCTCTGGCCAACGGAGCTAATGTCAGTCTGGGACAGGGTTTTGAAGTTGCCGGAGAGCAGTCGTTTTCTTGCTGTATCCGGCTCTACATCAACACTGTGTCCATGTTTGGGGTCCACCGCTTCAGAAGGAGGCAGAGAAGACCCACAAAAAAGATGAAAAAATTAGAAAACTTGCCAGGTGGGGTTACATGCAAAGAGCTCAGTCAATTTTGTCTAACCAAGCGACGGTAAAGGGGTGATATGATCAGTCTATACAGATCTACCTTGGGAACTAATAATTAAACACAGGCTCTTTGATGACCAGAGAAATGTCGAACATGATCCGGTCACTGGGCATTGCAGCTAGACAAATTCAGACTGGGAATAACGGGTACATTTTTAACAATGAGAATAATTAAGCATTTGGCAGTGGGGAAGAGGGGGGAAGGGAACCTGACCAACTTTTGTGATGGATTGTTCATCGCTGACCATTTTTAAATCATGATTGCATTTTTCCCCCTAAAAAACCTGCGTTAGGAACTATGTCGGGGCCAAGGCTGCATTATGACTTTCGTGGGCCCTGGGTACTTTTGCCTTCATGGCCCCTTCCTCCATTAAAAAAAATATATATTTTTTTGATATAACTTTAAATACTTCAACATTTTTTTTTCTCTTTTAGGCAAAATTTAATAGATTTTTGTGGGCCCTAAAAGTTTCATTTCTTTCTGATGTGAGAAAAAAATTAAAACATTTTCTTTGACCCTAAAAGTTAATTTTTTTTCTTCTGATTTTAAAAGAAATTAAAATATTTTCGTGGGCCCCTAAAAGTATTGTGGGGCCCTAGGCACTGTGCCTAATGGAGAAGGGAAAATAGCTGCCCAATTTGCAGAGCCCTTTCCAGAAGCCCTTAACGAACTATGGAAGGAGGAAGAAGTCTCCCATCATTTTAAGGAACCACAAAGTGTATCTGTGAGACCTGGGAAGCGTCTATGCACCTGAGGCTAGAAAGGTGTGGGCAGAAGTCAGATGATGGCTTTGAGGGGGAAGAATTAATCTTAGACTAGAAGGAGAATTCTTTAGACGAGGGGTTTTGGAGGGGAAATGAGAGTAGGGCAGGAGACCAGAAGGATCTCAAAGCAGACACCTCGAAGGAGGGGTCTAGACACACAGGAGACTGGTAGGACAAGAATTCAATAGAGCGGGTTAGCAGAGGGGGGTCTAGAAGAAGGCAAAAAATGACCAAACAGGCCATTAAGAGGGGGCAACGTCTAAAAAAATGTTTGAGTTTAATGTAAAAACCACAGAGTCTCTAGCTGGGACATTATCATAGTTCAAAATCCGGAGGTGGGTTTTTTCCATCTTACAATTCATTTTACTTTTTTTTTAAAGGGCATTTTTTATCCCATGGTCTGACCAGTGCTAGTCCCCAAGGACCTATCTGTGTCACTCAAGGTTGTGAAAATTTTGCCCCCAGAAAGCCACAGATAGCTCTTCTATGAACCCGGCTACCTCTCCTTGGAGAACTGTGGAAAGTCTACTGGTGGGAAAACCTGCAATCGTGTCTGTGCGGCTGGAGCGTAGATGTACATCAAGAGTCACACACTGTGGGCACAGCACCCGAGAGCCAAAAACTGATACAGAAAACCAGACGAGAGAGCGAGACGCTGGAGGAAAGTTACCCAAAGTGAGACAACGTTGGAGCGGGAGGCTGGAATGTTCAAAGCCGCCAAAGGGAGCAAGTTAGGTCCCTCAAACACCTTGGAAAATCCCAGTTTAGCTCTCTGGTTGTGGACTGTTCCTAGGACATTCTGAGTGTCAATAAGAGCTACGTAGCCAGATTGATTAGCTAGACCAGAAAGTGGATGGATGGAGAGACCAGAGAAGCAGACTCCCGGACGGACAAGTAGATGGACAGATGCATGGACCAGATGGACGGATGGATGGACGGATGGATGTCTATGGGGATGGATGGATTGGATGGATGGACAGATGGATGGACAGATGGACAGATGGATAGCGCAGGTGGGTGGATGGATGGACAGATGGATGGACAGATGGACAGATGGATAGCGCAGGTGGGTGGATGGATGGACAGATGGATGGACAGATGGAGTGTCCAAAAAGAGATGGACCAGACAGAGACTTTCAATAATGATGTGCCTTGGGCATCTTTCAACATTTCTGAATATTCAGAAATGGAGTAACCTTAACACTTCCCAGAATGGGAGCGGGGGGGATGAATTTTGCAATAGGACAGAAACAGAGTAACCCTAACTTTTCCTAGAGTGGGGGAATGAATTTCACAATGGATCAGAGACAGAATAACCTTAACACTTCCTTGAGCGGGGGGATGAATTTTACAATGGGACAATACATAGCAAACTAATTCAGGGAAACAGTTCATACCTCAGACCTCCTGCAGCTTTCCCATCCAGGAGAACGACACCGAGAGAAATCCTCAGCACGTCTCAGTGCCAAATATGCCCGATCTGCTGCTTGTGTTTCCTCCTTAATGAACACCCCAGGGGTTACCAACATCTGCCTTCTGTCAGTTCAGTATAAACAACCCCTTCCATAACTTTGAAGTCCCCCCAAGGAGAATACACTCTTGTAGTTGCTAGACACTGTCTATCTTCCGCATGACCCCACCCTGCCACCCGTGGAGCAAACGTGACTCATCGGTGCAGCATTTCAAAGACACCTAACGCACTTGCACTTCTAGGTCCTGTTAGTTTGAATGAAGATTGGGTAGCTCATCGCTGGCTTTGGAAATCTGCCTGGTTTCTGCTTTCCTTCAGAGCACACGGTGGAGCCCGTTCCAAATGCCACTCACGTTAATGAGGATCCGGGTCATCCCAACCAAACCTCGGTGGGAAAGAGGCAGTAAGGACCAATTCCCCAGGTCAATACATTTTTCTAAAGAAAAAAAGTTTCAAATTTTCCAAACGTTCCCTCTGGACACTTTCTAAAAGGAAATGTTTCATTTTGCGGTTGCATACGATTCTTGGATTGGCAATTCAGGTTATAGTAAAAGAAAGTCGACGTGCAAAATGGCAGAGGTTAAATGAGGTGTTACCTCTCAAAAGAGAGATCTTGGAGTCATGGCTAGTTCTCTGAAAACAGTCCCTCTGTGTGCAGCAGCAGTCACAAAACAAACAGGATGTTAGGAATCATTAACAAAGGAGTAGAGAATAAGACAGAAAATATCTTATTGCCGCTATATAAAACCATGGGACATCCACAGCTTGAATACTGCATATAGATGTGGTCGTCTCATCTCAAAAAAGATCTCTTGGCATTGGAAAAGGTTCAGAAAATGGCAACACAAATGCTGAGGGGTCTGGAATGGGTCCTCTATGAAGAGAATTTAAAAAGACTTGGACTTTTCAGGCTTTGAAAAGAGGAGACTAAGGGGGGTGATAGAGGTCTATAAAATCATGACTGGTGTGGAAAAAAGTTAAAAAGGACATAAGAACTAGGGGCCACCAAATGAAATGAATAGGCAGCAGTTAAAACAAACAACAGGAAGTTTTTCTTCAGTCAATCTGTGGAACTCCTTGCCATAGGATGTGGTGAAGGCCAGGACTTTAACAGATAGATTCATGGAGGTTAAGTCCATCATTGGCTATTAGCCAGGATGTGTAGGGATGGTGTCCTTAGCTTCTGTTTGTCAGAGGCTGGGAATGGGCGACAGGGGAGGGATCACGTGAGGATTCCCTGCTCTGTTCTCTCCCTCGGGGGTATCTGGCACTGGCCATTGTGGGAAGACAGGACAGTGGGCTAGGTGGACCTTGGTCTGACCCAGCCTGGCCGTTCTTCTGTTAAAAGGGTGTTAACTAACCACGCCGGAGGGGTGATACAGAACTCGTTTGTATTGATGGAGTCCGAGAAGGATCTTTGTGTAGGCTGGGGGGAAGTGGAAACTCCCCCACTGTCTGAGCTGAGTCCATTGTCAGGGCCATGTACGGCTGGACGACAGGCTTTCGTTGACAGAAGTTTTGTCAACAGCTAGGGTACGTCTAGACTACATGGCTCCGTGTAGACTTGTTTGTTGGGAGCCCCTGCAGCTCCACTCCTGCCCCCAAGAACCCTCTGAGTCCTGGTAAGCGGGGGGAGGGGAAGGAAGGAATCCCCAGACCCCAGCAGAAGCTGGTAATGACCCTCGGTTGAGTAGGACCCCATAATTTGTAAGGACGGCTCTGCTCTGGGACTGTGGGGCCAGCACGGAAGGGGCAGCCCCCATGCCCAGCACCCGTACGGGAACCTTATCCATGACCGGCGGCTGGCAACATTCACAGCCCCTCCCTCAGCCGGTCACTTTCTTACTGGTGCGCACGGCCACTGTGGCCATTCTATGGTGCGAGTGTCCCTCCTCGCCGCCCCCTCCCTTTCCATGCGATGGAACACGGTTCCCTTCCTGGCATGGCCCATTTTCCTGGCACAACCAAAGCCAGACCTTGCTTTCAGTTAGGTGGTCCTAACTGGGTGGTCCTAGCTCTCACTGTTTGGAAGGAGCTCTCGGACAAACAGACTCGCTTAAGCGTGGATAGACACACAGACAGATGCACAATCTCGCTCAAATATACAGTAGGCTTTTTCCACCTGCCATTGAACTCTTCTTACGATAAAGCACTGTCTCACCAGAAATCACGTGTGTCCAATTATTTTATTTCCACATCCAGGAATCCATTTACGGCCCTACAAACCTTCTCATCCTTCCAGAATAGCACACAGAACCAAGACGTGTATGAAGGCTGATACAATCAACACAGAAATGAACTGTCACAAGATGGCCTGACGCCAAGGTGAGACACAATATATTTTACCAACCCACTACGAGCCACCAGGGTTTGAGAGTTTTCCCAACTCTGCCAGCGTTACTAATTCCCGAAAGGGCAGGAGTAAGTAGCAACTCTACTCAACTAGGAATGCAGCCCTCCTAAAACTTAGCATGTCCCCGAGAAAACTCCCATTGCCGTGAGCTAGGGGCCAGGTAGAAGTCAACTGATTGGCTAGTCAGGGCGGACAGGTTCATGCCTCAGTCAATCACTCCAGATTTCTGTGAGCCTCTTCCATTTATCGATAACTCTTCCCACAGCCTCCTTCACGTCTTTGTTCCTCAGGCTGTAGATGAGCGGGTTGGCCAGGGGTGTCAGGACCGTGTAGAAGAGGGAGAACACTTTGTTGAGGTCTCTCAAGGAGTCGGTGTCTGGGAGCACGTAGACGACGATCAGGGTCCCATAGTAGATGGTCACCACGATGAGGTGGGAAGAGCAGGTGGAAAAGGCCTTTTGCCGCCCACTGGTAGACGAGATCCTCAGGATGGTGGAGATGATGCAGATGTAGGATGCCAAGGTTAAGAGAAATGGGGGCAGGGTGAACATGGAAGAGAGGATAAAGGTTACCAGTGTGACCAGGCGGGTGTCACTGCAGGAGAGTTTGATCATGGGGGTGAAATCACACAGGAAATGGTTGATTTTATTGGGGCCACAGAAATGCAACAGGGATATTAAACAGGTTACTACGGTTGTGGCCATAAAGCCACCCATCCAGGACACCGCTGCTAGCAGGAGGCAGAGTCTGCCACTCATAAGAGCGGCGTAGTGAAGGGGCTTGCAGATCGCTAAATACCGGTCGTAGGACATCACTGCTAGGAGGTAGCATTCTGACGCGGTAAGGCAGCCGAAGAAATAATATTGCGCAATGCAGTCTAGAACAGAGATGGTCCTGTTCCCGGTCAGGAGACTGGCCAGCAGCCGGGGCAGGAGGGCGGAGCTGTAGCAGGTCTCCAAGCAGGACAGGTTCCCCAGGAAGAAGTACATGGGGGTGTGAAGGTGCCGATCAACCACCACTAACACAGCGATGAGGATGTTCCCAGCCATGGTCACCAGGTAGATCACTAGAAATGGTACGAAGAGAAGCACCTGCAGCTCCAAGGAATTGCCGAATCCTAGGAGGATGAATTCTGTGATAAATGTTTGGTTTCCTCCTCCTTTAGCCAGAAGTGGGACATAGATTCCCCCTTTCTCCATTCCCCTTGGAAGATTCTAACAAGAGAAAAAATGCAGCGGGTGTTGGAAGAGTTGGCTGTGCAACTGGAACTTGGCCGATTCCCATCCCTTTGATTCTAGGAAAGTGCAAAATGCAAACAGAAAGTGCAGTTGGCATAACCGCACCGAGCCCAGGGACTCGTCCCTCCAGACTTCACACAAAGTGTTGGAACAGAGACTCCCTACGTGCCTCACGAAATGAGCAGCACTGTTGGTAAAGTATCCGTCTTTGGCCTTCGACTTTGCTCTTTCATTGACGCCTAGATTGAAAGGCCACGGAATTAGGGTTGGCAGATTATTAAAAAATCTAATTTTAATGGATAGTATCAATAGCAACATTTTGTTCACACCTGGAAGAAATTGTTCAGGGATTGGACAATATGTGGGTCTATTATTTAACAACAGTAGACACAGAGATTCAAACAATTAAAGTTTTATAACCATTAAAACATGAATATCCATCATCAAACCTAAATATATACCTTACTTATACTTAAATGAATGTCTAATGTGTTCTCCAGCAGAATTCTTTACTTTTTTACTTTGTCAGACTACAAACTTAGCCTCATTAACATGGGTCCTGCAACTGACAGGTATTTCTACTCATAGACTCATAGACTCATAGACTTTAAGGTCAGAAGGGACCATTATGATCATCTAGTCTGACCCCCTGCACAGTGCAGGCCACAGAATCTCGCCCACCCCTCTTAGAATAATCCTCTCACCTATGTCTCAGATATTGAAGCCTTCAAATACTTTGAAGGCCCCAACATGCAGAGAGTCCTTCAGCTGTGATCTGTGCCCAATGCTACAGAGGAAGGCGAAAAACCTCCAGGGACTCTGCCAATCTACCCTGGAGGAAAATTCCTTCCTGACCCCAAATATGGCGATCAGCTAAACCCTGAGCATGTGGGCAAGACTCACCAGCCAGACACCCAGAAAGTTCCCTATAGCAACTCCTATCATCCCTCCATTGACCTATTTCCAACTGGAAATGAATGGTCAATTAGTTACCAAGATCATGTTATTTCATCCAACCATCCCCTTATCATAGAATCAGAACTGGAAGAGACCTCAGAAGGTCGTCAAGTCCAGCCCTCCGCTCTAGGCAGGACCAATCCCATCTAAATCAACCCGGCCAGGGCTTTGTCAAGCCGAGACTTAAACACCTCTAGGGATGGAGACTCCACTACTTCCCTAGGTAACCCATTCCAATGCTTCACTACCCTCCTAGTAAAATAGTTTTTCCTAATATCCAATCTGGCCCTCTCCCACCACAACTTGAGACCATTGCTCCTTGTTCTGCCATCTGTCACTACTGAGAACAGTCTTAGTTACACTGTGTACATCAGTGTGTGTATGGAATCAGTAGTATTTGTTAGAAGTGCTTGGGCTAGGGGCAAGAAAGGTCTTTTCCCCAAGGATTATCCAATGAAATAAATATTAGTAAGTATATATAAATATGATTTATCTATCTATCTATCTATCCCCACACACCCTCTCTATCTATCTATCTATCTATCTATCTATCTATCTATGTTTCTCTCTCTTTCACTCTCCCTCCCTCTCTCGGTTTCTGTCGTTCCACTTCAACACATCTGAAGAAGTGGGTTTCACCCACAAAAAGCTCAAGATTTTATATATTTTTGTTAATCTCTAAGGTGCCACAGAACCACTTGTTTTTAACATTATAGACAAATATGGCTCCCCATCTGAGCCTTCATGTAATTTCGGTTATTACCACTGGAAACACTGTTTCATCAGTCTGTCTGTGCATATTGTAAAAGTGATGTTTATTGACATTTACCAATGTAAATCTAATTCGTCCAACTCCTGTGTATTGACTGTCATAGGACTTGCATGAATTCATTCCTGTTTGAATTCCCGTATGTATTTCACATAAGGGGCCTTGTAATTACCTAGTTTGTCCTACTTTATATCATTGCATTCCCCCCCGTTACTCCTGAATTATTCTCACTATCTTGTGGTTAAGGAAAACATTGACTAAAAGATATAGCCATTGATCAACTACACTTTTGGTTCAATCTTAAAAATATCCAAGAGATCAAATAACCACACTTAGCTAGAAGCAAAATGCAGGACAATGTAGCACTTTAAAGACTAACAAGATGGTTTATTAGATGATGAGCTTTCGTGGGCCAGACCCACTTCCTCAGATCAAATAGTGGAAGAAAGTAGTCACAACCATATATACCAAAGGATACAATTAAAAAAAAAGACCTTTTACATCTGCACTTGAAAGGGAATCCTCTGAACTGTCATTCATGTTAAAATTCATCTAATAAACCATCTTGTTAGTCTTTAAAGTGCTACATTGTCCTGCATTTTGCTTCAACTACCCCAGACTAACACGGCTACATTTCTATCACACTTAGCTACATTTATTATTCAAAGAAATACGTGTACAATAGGAAAAGGAGACATATGAATCTCTTTCCAAGAAGCAATTCTTGCATAGATGCTCTTCAGAGATACCTAGTTCAGCGAGTAGCACTTATAGCATGAGTTCACAAGTTACAACAGCCGACACATCACTCAAATCCAGCACACCAATACCTTGAAGGTTTGCTGGACTTTTCTGATCTCTGCTTTGGATATTTCAGTCCAAACTCCTCGGCTGTGTCTAGACTGGCAAGTTTTTCTGCAAAATCAGATGATTTTTTGGAAAAACTTGCCAGCTGTCTACACTGGCTGCTTGAATTTCCGGAAAAGCACTGTCAATCTCATGTAAAATCATCAGTGCTTTTCTGGAAATACTATGCTGCTCCCGTTTGGGCAAAAGTCTATTTCCGAAAGACTTTTGCGCAAAAGGGCCAGTGTAGACAGCATAGTAGTTTTCCGCAAAAAAAGCCCCGATCACGAAAATGGCAATTGGGGCTTTTTTGCGGAAAACCGCATCTAGATTGGCCATGGACGCTTTTCCACAAAAAGTGCTCCTGCGGAAAAGCGTCCTGCCAATCTAGACGCGCTTTTCCGAAAATGCTTTTAACGGAAAACTTTTCCATTAAAAGCATTTCCGGAAAATCATGCCAGTGTAGATGTAGCCCCTGGGTATACATATACCTCTTGGCTTTGCTAAGCTTCTGATTTTTCTAAATGTTTAAGCTGACTTCAGTTTTGCCCAATGTTGTGGGTACTTGAACAAAATTGTGGGGGAGAAAAAAGATACAAAATTTGCTTTCCGAACCTTGAGGAATGCATAGCAACAAGATTTATCTTATCTGCTTAATACCCGTTAAGTTTGTGTATAACACATGGGATAGCTAATGAAAGCATAAATGCCTGACTGGGGAATATGGGTGAAATTCAAATAGCTACTGGTCATTGGCCAGCGGAATCGAACAATTATAGATTGCTGGATACAGCACGAGAGCAAAAGGTGTTCTTGGACAAGCCAAGAGAGGAAAGGCAAAACCATCACCAAATATGCTCCACCGAAGTGAACATTCGCACCCAAAACCCAGGCTTTTCGTCAGCAACATCACGCAGTTCCTTTATGAAGGCTGGGAAGGGAAGGGAATGAAAAGGCTCTGGCCGGGGAAAGGACTCAGCCAGAGACCCAGAAAGTGGATGTGTAGGGCTGTGAGTATCCCTCGGATGCCGAATTTGGAAGAACCTGCGTTGAGGACAGAACAGTTAAGCTTAAGAAAAATCAGGACTTTGTTCTCTGCACACATTTTCCTAAGTGCTGTGTCCCCTGCCTGGACAAATAAATACTTTGTTTTTAGGAAGATGTCCCCGCACCTCTGCAAACTCATTCTGCCATAGGCTAATGAAGGGCTATCTAGAGCAGGGTGGATCTGCCAGGATAACACGGTTGGCAGTAAAGTGATCGTTACCTGGAGTAGCTGAACGGCAAGATCCAAGCTGAGGGCATACGGAATATGGAGACTATAACAGACCATTATTCAAATTTGGGGGTTTCCCGAATCCTGGAATCCCAGGGCTGGAAAAGACCTCCGGAGGCATCGAGTCCAGCCCCCTGCCCAGAGCAGGACCAACCCAACTCAATCATCCCAGATCCAGAACAGCAACTGCACAAGCACCTGCTGAGTGCTCGCAAGATGCTTCAGGCTGCTTTTCACCCCCAAATAGCTGAAATCCGCCCAAGGGTACCCAGGAGAGAATGGATTTACCTTGAACGCTCAGCATGGAGGTGGCTCCTGGCCCGGTGGTCGGACTAAATTCTTCCGTGTCTCATGCAATCTCTCTCTGCAAAGACTCCTACATTTTGCTGTGGCCACTCCGGCTCTCCGGCGCGACGCATACTCTTGTGCGCCTGGCACGGCACCTCTGCGCCTGCCGCGCTCCACTCCTCCCCGGGTTATATGGAACAGCAGCCTCCTCCCGGCATCGGCTGGACGCTCCCTTTGGGGCCACCAAGAATGATGGCGTGACACGTGCCCACGTGCAGGAGTGGAATTCCTGGGCTGCTTGTTAAACCGGAGAGTCGCTCCGATCCCGGCGGAAACCGCCAGGGAAATCCCCCTTGTGTGTGTCAACACACGCCTGGTGCACGGGATTGTGTTCGGGCTGGCCCGTCTCCGGGAGGGGACAGTGGAACTGGGGGATATTCAGAGAAGGGCAAGAAAGACGATGGTGGTTCTGAAACGGCTTCTGTCTGGGGAGAGAATACAGAAGAGGGCTGTTCCGTTGAGAAGAGAGATCACAGATTCCTAGAACACTAGAACTGGCAGGGACCTCGAGAGGTCATCGAGTCCCGTCCCCTGCCCTCATGGCAGGACCAAGCACCGTGTAGATCAACCCTGACAGGCGTCTGTCCAACCTGCTCTTCAATATCTCCAGAGATGGGGATTCCACAACCTCCCTGGGCAATTCATTCCAGTGTTTCACCCCCCTGACAGGCAGGAAGTTTTTCCGGATGTCCAACCTCAACCTCCCTTGCTGCAGTTTCAGCCCATTGCTTCTTGTTCTATCCTCAGAGGCCAAGCAGAACAAGTTTTCTCCCTCCTCCTTGTGACACCCTTTGAAAACCGCTCTGATGTCCCCTCTCGGTCTTCTCCTTTCCAAGCTAAACAAGCCCAGTTCTTTCAGCCTTCCCTCCTACGTAGGGTGACCGTATTTCCCTATGCCCAATACGGGACACCAAGAGGGGGGAGCTGCTGGGGCTCGGGGCTTTAGCCCAAAATGGGGGGGCTACCGGCACTCAGGGCTTCAGCCCCACAGTGGAGGAGGGGGGAGGAAACGGGATGGGGTAGGGGCTGCCCGGGAACGGGGCTTTATCCCCACAGCTGAGGTCACCTGGGAACGTCTGGGTGCACACAGAGGGAAGACACACCTACCCGGGTGCTTTCTATGTTTCTCCCTCGGCTCCCTGCCCGACTCGGGATGCCACGCTCTCGTGCCTGTTTTACCGCTGGCCACGACTAGGTGGCTGCTGTGCAGACTGAGGAACGTATGGACCAGCAGGGGGCAGGCCAATCCAGGACGTTTTGCCCCTTTTTAAGAAAACGGTGGGACACGTGGAAGCTAAAACGCGGGGCAGCCCTGGTAAAAACGGGACAGATGGCCACGCTACTCATAGGGCAGGATCGCGGCGGGTGCTGAACCTCACGCCAACCTCTCTCTGCACTGCAAAAGTTTGTTTGGTGCCTGCGCTTCTGACTCTGGGCAGGCACAGGTGTCGCTCCGGTTGTCTGGACACCTACCTCCGTCCTAAGCCCCAGCCAGCCCCTCAAACAGGGGACAGGTCTCCCTCCTTCACCCCCACCAGCCGGAGGGCTCAGAACATGCCGACCTCCAAACAGCGGAGGAGGAAGCACCTGGCCCCGCTTTAGGAGATCCCGATTCAATTCTGCCCTCTGAGTGACTTCAAGAAGGAATATGGCAAACCCCTCTGTGTCAGCTGCCTGCCTTAGCCACTGGGCTAGAGGGTATCCTGGAGGGAGAATCCCCCCTCCTATTGAAACTCTTGCAGTTCAATTACCTTTTTCCTTAATTACATGGGCCGGAAAAAGAAGTAGAAAACTGCTCTGTCTCTCGCTGGACTGGGGCTGAGAATTCCAATCCAGATTCAAATTCTTTCTCTTACTTCTGTTTAAAACTAACAAAAGGCCGTATTTCCTCACATCAACCTGTGGAACTCCTCGCCAGAGGATGTTGTAAAGGCCAGGAATTTAACAGGGTTTAAAAGAGAACTAGATACATTCATGGAGGTTAAGTCCATAGATGGCTACTAGCCAGGATGGGTATGGAATGGTGTCCCCAGCCTCCGTCAGAGGGTGGAGATGGATGGCAGGAGAGTCGTTGCTTGATCATTACCTGTTTGATTCACTCCCTCTGGGATACCTGGCATTGGCCACTGTCAGCAGATAGGACTCTGGGCTGGATGGACCTTTGGTCTGACCCAGTACGACCGTTCTTATGAGACCTGGGAAAGGGGAGAGTTGTCCAAACGCACACAGGGCCCCAGTTCAGGGCATCCGTAGCTCCCCTCTATTACCCACCAAAGGCATTTACCTTCCAGGCGTTGCCTGCCTGGGCAGAGATACATGGCTCTTTCTCCTGACTAGGTTTGTCTGCAGCCTGCCTGCACTCGGACTTCCCCGTAAGCCAGGCTGGTCTGAGATGAGAACTGTCCCTCGTGTCCTAGCTTGGCCGTGTGGGTTTTCTCCCTGTGTGCCGCCCCAGCTCTGCACAGGGGAGTGGCACAGCAAACCTCAAGGGAGCCTTCAAAAGACCACAAGAGTTGTGAAGGGACTTTGGTTTATTGCCGACGAAGCACAGCGCTGGTCCCCGACCCTTTCGACAAGCACACTCGGTGCCCATAGGCCCATGACAATGGGCGCCAGTCAGTCGGTGGTGGGACTTTCCTCTATCTCCTCAGCTGGCCAAAAACTCAGAGACTTCTTGATACACCAATACAGAAAAGTTACATGCTTCCCTCTGACGGGTGACAAGGGAGGGATCGTGGGAGGATTCCCTGTTGTGTTCCCTCCATCTGGGGCACCTGGCCTTGGCCACTGTGGGCAGACAGGACACTGAGCTGGACGGCCCTTGGGTCTGATCCCGTCTGTCCGTTCTTACGTTGAGGATGGTTAGCTACCAGCTGTAGTAAGATGAAGACCTAAAACATAAGTCAACTCAGCACAGGCTTGGTCTGAGGCCTGGCCACCAATGGACAAAATGTGGCTCACATAAAGCAAAGCTAAGCCGAGAGCGAGAGGCAGGCCCCTGCTCACAGAACTTGGTACAAACCGGGCTGAGAGAGCAAAACACTCAGGGTACATTTAGACTACAGGGTTTTGTCAACAGAAGTTTTGTCGACAGATACTGTTGATAAAGCTTCTGTCGACAAAGAGCATCTAGACTACAGCCAGTTCTGTCAACAAAGCAAGCCGCTTTGTCAACATAACAGTGTGGACGCAAAGGACAGTGTAGAAGCAATAATGTCTTCTATCGACAGAACTCTGTCAACAAAAGAATGAGGTTTACATATGTCGACAAAACTGCCACTCAAAGGCAGTGTGGACGCAAGTATAGTTTTGTCGACAAAAGTCCACTTTTGTCGACAAAACCCTGTAGTCTAGACACACCCTCATTGGCTACGTCTACACTGGCATGATTTTCCGAAAATGCTTTTAACGGAAAAGTTTTCCGTTTAAAGCATTTTCGGAAAAGCATGTCTAGATTGGCAGGATGCTTTTCTGCAAAAGCACTTTTTGCGGAAAAGCGTCCGTGGCCAATCTAGACGCACTTTTCCGCAAAAAAGCCCCAATCGCCATTTTTGCGATCGGGGCTTTTTTTGTGGAAAACAGTACTATGCTGTCTACACTGGCCCTTTTGCGCAAAAGTTTTTCGGAAAAAGACTTTTGCCCGAATGGGAGCAGCATAGTATTTCCGGAAAAGCACTGATGATTTTACATGAGATTGTCAGTGCTTTTCCAGAAATTCAAGCGGCCAGTGTAGACGAGTCAATTGTAGGACCCCTATTAATGAGGCTTATTAAGTGCTAGCCCATTCGTGCTTAAGGCGGAAGCATAACTGGGAGAATATAAAGCAAACGAAGAACCTATACTTGGCTAAGATGCTTATTAGAGTTCACCCCAACTCCCGCTTTGGGCTCTGAACAGGCCTCCAGTTCACGTTGCCCTCTCCTCCATGACTCTTTGAGTCCCTTCTTCGTGCCCTTTGGGCCTTTTGATCCGGGGGCTGTGCCGTTTGCTGTTAGAAGTCCCCTCCCCAGGGCAAAGACTCGTGAGGTCTGCTCCAGGATGGGACATTTGCCTTCTCCTCTCCCCACCCCCAGGTATTTCCGTGGAAAACCGCTGAACTAACGGTGAAAATCATCTTCTGACGCGCATAAGATTTCAACGTTTACAGCGGGCATGTCTCCTAGACGGGTTCCATTCCGCCCTAGGAAACCCAACTTTTCCATCATTAATACAGCGAGCTCCTAGGCCTCTAGCTCTTCGTTCCGTACCTCTTATTGGCATTCCAGAAAGGTGGCCCAGCAGCATTCCCCTCATTCGCAGCCCCATGGCCGACTTCGTCTGGCTTAAGGGTTGTGTGGGGGTGGAGGGCTGAGAGGCGGGCCCAGGAGCAGAGGCTGGGTCCACCTGCGGGAGTCTTTTGGGAGGGTTCGCAGCCTATCTTGGAGTGCTCAGTGAAAACTCACCTCCAAGTGAGGCAGCTGCTGAGTTGGAATAGAAACTAACTCTGGGATTTTGGTGCCTCTCTTTGGGCTACTAAAACTAACTCTGGGTATGTCTACACTAGAAAGGCTACTAGGCACCTACATCCCTCACTGGATCTGGGACGTAGAAACCGAAAGACGTAGATAGGCACAAACAGCATTTTTGAAAGCCCCCAAGCCCAGGAGGTGAACAATTGTTGGCCACTTCGAGCTCTGACTGTTCAGAATGGCAGTTCAGGGAGAGGCGTCAACCCCGTCCCCATCATTCCTTCTGAATCGCTGGGCATGCCACATATCTATGGATTAGTTTTCTCAGGGCCTCCAGGACCTCCTTGTTCCTCAGGCTGTAGATGAGCGGGTTGGCCAGGGGCGTCAGGACCGTGTAGAAGAGGGAGAACACTTTGTTGAGGTCTCTCAAGGAGTCGGTGTCCGGAAGCACATAGACGACGATGAGGGTCCCGTAGAAAATGGTCACCACGATGAGATGGGAGGAGCAGGTGGAGAAGGCCTTTTGCCGCCCGGCGGCGGACGGGATCCTCAGGATGGTGGAGATGATGCAGATGTAGGACATCAGGGTTAGGAGGAACGGGGGCAGGGTGTCTATGGAAGAGATGACAAAGGTCACCAATTTGACCAGGCGGGTGTCAGTGCAAGAGACTTTGATCAGGGGGGTGAAATCACACAGGAAATGGTCAATCTCATTGGGGCCACAGAAATGTAACTGGGATATTAAACAGGTTACTATGGTTGTAGCCATCAGGCCACCCATCCAGGACACCGCTGCTAGCAGGAGGCAGAATCTGCCGTTCATAAGAGCTGTGTAGTGCAGCGGTTTGCAGATCGCTAAATACCGGTCGTAGGACATCGTGGATAAGAGGTAACACTCACTCGCCACAAGCACACCAAAGAAATAGAACTGAGTGATGCAGCCGCTCACGGAGATGGTCCTGTCCCCCGTCAGGAGCCCGGCCAACAACCGGGGTAGGATGGTAGAGCTGTAGCAGGTCTCCAGGCAGGACAGGTTCCCCAGGAAGAAGTACATGGGGGTGTGGAGATGCCGATCGACCACAACTAGCACCACAATGAGGAGGTTCCCGGCCATGGTCACAATGTAGATCACCAGGAACAGCAGGAAGAGAAGAGTTTGCAGTTGTGGGAACATTTCAAATCCTAGGAGGTTGAATTCTGTGATATAGGTTTGATTCTTCCCTTCTCCTGTCTCCATGAGCGGGAAATGGGTCTCCTCTTCCTCAGTTTGCTGTAAGACGTATCTATTGATAGATAAAAAGTAGGGAGAGTTGGAAGAGAATGCAGTGCCATTGAACTCACATTCCTGTTCCCTTGGGCCATGGCTACACCAACCGGAAGATTGACGCTGCCGCAGTCGATGTTCCGGGTTCGATTTAACGGGTCTCGCAAAGACGTGTTCATTCGAACTGAGGATGTGTCTAAACTACACCCCTCTGTTAGCAAAGGGATGTAAATTAGACTCATCAAAAGTGCAAATGAAGCCAGGATTTAAATATTCCATGCTTCATTTGCATAATGGTGACTGCCGCTTTTTTTCGAAACAGGGCTTTTTGAAAAAAACAGCAGTTTAGACGGGGCATTTATGTCGAAAGATCCTGTACTCCTCATTACTTTCGGTGTCATTTTTTGAGGAGTACAGGATCTTTTGAAATGGGGCATTTCTGTAGAAAATGCCCCATCTAAATTGCCGGGTTTTTTTGAAAAGCCCCATTTCCAAAAAAGCGGTGACTGCTGTTATGTAAATGAAGCATGGGATATTTAAATTCCGGCTTCATTTGCATTTTCGATGTGTCTGATTTACATCCCTCTGCCAACAGAGGGATGTAGTTTAGACAGACCCTCAGAGAGCGCCCCCATCAACACCGGTACTCCTGCTTCTCACGAGTACTACAGGAAGCCAATGGGACCAAGTGCTCCAGTCAACCTCCCACTTCACGTGAAAACGTGAGTTAAGATATGTCAGCTCCAGCGATGTAATTAACAGACCTGGAGTCGCGGATCTTATGTCGACTTTTCCCTTGAGTGTCGACCTGGCTTTGGATGTAGAAAAGTTTTCCAAAGGCAGGACACTACTTTATTCAGACTTCATACAAAGTTTTGGAATGGCCGTTCCAAATGGCAGCTACACTGTTAATGTATCTCTCCAGGGTGGTCCTTACCCATACGAAGAACACACAGCTGTGTAGGGAGATGAGATGGGATAACCACGTCTGCACGCCGTATTCAAGATGTGGCACTGTGGATTTAGTTAGCGGTAATACCATAGACTTTCTCTTATTCTCTATCCCTTTCTTAATGGTTCCCAGAATTCAGGTCCCTTTTTTTGACGGCCGCATCCCATGAAGTGGACGTCTCCAGAGAACTCACCATGCTGACTCCAAGATCTCTCTCTTAGTGGGAACTGCTCAGTCGGTCCCCATCGTTTCGTACCTATCGTTGGGACCATCTTTTGCCAACAGGCATGACTTTGCATTTAGCAACACCGAATTGTTTCTGTTGCCTGGTCACCCAGTTTTGTGAGATCCTTTTGTGAGACCCAGAATAGCTTACTGCCCCTGTATAAAACTATGGTACGCCCACATCTTGAATACTGTGTACAGATGTGGTCTCCTCACCTCAAAAAAGATATTTTGGCCTTGGAAAGGGTTCAGAAAAGGGTAACTAAAATGATTAGGGGTTTGGAACGGGTCCCATATGAAGAGAGGTTAAAGTGACTGGGACTTTTCAGTTTAGAAAAGAGGAGACTGAGGGGGGATAGGATAGAGGTCTATAAAATCATGAGTGGTGTGGAGAGGGACGATAAAGAAAAGTTATTTATTAGTTCCCTAAATAGAAGAACTAGAGGACACCAAATGAAATTAATGGGTAGCAGGTTTAAAACTAATAAAAGAAAGTTCTTCTTCACACAGTGTGTAGTCAACCTGTGGAACTCCTTGCCAGAGGAGGCTGTGAAGGCTAGGACTATAACAGGGTTTAAAAAGAAGCTAGATAATTTCATGGAGGTTAGGTCCATAAAAGGCTATTAGCCAGGGGATAAAATGGTGTCCCTGGCCTCTGTCTGTCAGAGGCTGGAGAGGGATGGCAGGAGACAAATCGCTTGATCGTGTCTTCGGTCCACCCTCTCTGGGGCACCTGGTGCTGGCCACTGTTGGCAGACAGGATACTGGGCTAGAAGGACCTTTGGTCTGACCCAGTACGGCCGTTCTTATGTTCTCTGTACAGTCTGCTTTGGCCAAGCAAAGGAGTCACCTTAGGGCAAAGGGTAGGTCAACACCGGCAGTGCCACATCTGTGCAGATGCACCAACCGGGCCATAGTAGCTAACGTGGTGAGGATACTCTGTGCCGACTGGGGAGGTCTCTCCTTTATTCCTGCAAGGGGCAGAAGCTATGTTGGCAGGAGAATGTTTTCGATGGACATTGCACCAGTGTGAATAGGACACGGCAACTTGTACGGCTCAGAGGGGTGTCTTTTTCACACCCCTGAGCGACAGAAGCGGGAGTGAGGACCTGTCAACACTGAGAGGATCAGCAGGGGGGCAAAGCACCCCTCCGATTCAGAAGTGGCGTCTGCTGAAAGCTGAGCCAGGGAGAGAGACGTTACAGGTACATAACACAGGAGCGGTCGAGGACACATTCAAACACACTTTCCTCGGGACTGCGTTCCCTTGTGCAAATCAATCCCACATCCAGCTTTTTCCAGGAGTGGATCCCTAATTAAATTCCCATGGAGATGCTGACCCCTTTGGAAATCTTACACATAGTCTGGGTCCCCCACCCCCACATGTCCCTGGACCACCATCTGGGAACGGCTGATTTAAGTCTGGGTCCCTCCACCCCACAGGTCCTTGGACCACTGGCTGGGAATGGTTGATTTAAGTCTGGGTCCCTCCACCCCACAGGTCCTTGGACCACTGGCTGGGAATGGTTGATTTAAGTCTGGGTCCCTCCACCCCACAGGTCCTTGGACCACTGGCTGGGAATGGTTGATTTAAGTCTGGGTCCCTCCACCCCACAGGTCCTTGGACCACTGGCTGGGAATGGTTGATTTAAGTCTGGGTCCCCCCACCCCATAGGTCCATGTACCATGGGCTGGGAATGGCTGATTTAAGTCTTCCATGCTGTAGTTTGAATCCATCGTGGCAAAGCACGTCGGTTTATAGCAACCTCTCGAGTGTTAGAAGAACATTCTCGTGACTCTCTGGGTCTCCTCTTCCCCACACTACCCCCCCCCCAGCTCCTCCAGCCTCAGCTCGGAGGGCGGCATCCCGCCCCGTCCGAGTCTCTGCCTGGCTCGCAGGCAGGCTCTGCGTTGCGGTGCCCACAGCCGCTCGCCGCAGAGTCTCTACTCAGCAATATTGGGAGCAGAAACGGGACACGTGGCAGGGCAAAGGGGGAGCGGAAGAGAGCAGTAAGTGCACCAGCACATCGTGTGCCTGCAAGACCCTTCCCAGACTAGCAGAGACCCTCACGGTTCCCCGCAGCACCGATCAGCTGTACCTTGAATCCTCAGCATGAAGCAGAAACGTCTCCCTGGATGGGCCTAGCCGAGGGGGTCCGGATCTGCTCGGCATGGCGTCTCATGCACCCTCACCCCCACGGCAAAGACACCTTTTGATTTGCAGCGGCTGTTCTGGCTCTCCGGCGTGATGCGCTCTCTTGTGTGGGTGACACGGCACCTCGCTGCCAACTGTGCTTGACTCCTCCCTAGGTTATAGGGGGCAGCAGCCTCCTCCCAGGGCCGGCTGCGGTTGGGGTGTCCCTTGGGGCCGAGGATAACGATTGTTGTAACATTACCGACATGGACTTCAATCCCCACTGACACCTCTGCGGAATGGTCCTTTGGGTCTTGCCCCACATGTGTCAAGAGACACCCTTGAAATCTTTCCACACTGCTGGCTGCCCCATCTCAGTGAGGATCTTCGGAAATCGAGAAATAGTTCAGAGAAGGGCACCAGAGAGAAGCAAGGGCCTGGAATGGTTTCCATCCAATGTGGGAATAAAGCTTAGAGCTGATGTCTCAGAATCACACGACACTAGGACTGGAAGGGACCTCGAGAGGTCATCAAGTCCCCAGGACTAAGCACTGTCTAGATCATCCTTGCTAGATGTCTGTCCAATCTGCTCTTCAATATCTCCAGGGATGGAGATTCCACAACCCCCCCAGGCAACTTATTCCTGTGTTTCACCACCCTGACAGGCAGGAAGTTTTTTCCTCATGTCCAACCTAAACCTCCCTTGCTGCAGTTCAAGCCCATTGCTTCTTGTCCTGTCCTCAGAGGCCAAGGAGAACAAGTTTTCTCCCTCCTCCTTGTAACACCCTTTTAGCTACTTGAAAAAAGCTATCAAGTCCCCTCTTTTCCAAACTAAACAAGCCCAGTTCTTTCCAAGTATTTGATCTGAGGAAGTGGGTCTGGCCCACGAAAGCTCATCATCTAATAAACCATCTTGTTAGTCTTTAAAGTGCTACATTGTCCTGCATTTTGCTTCAACTACCCCAGACTAACACGGCTACATTTCTATCACTAGGAAAAGGTGAGACAACAAAATTGTGATTCTACTCCTCTTTTCAGTCTTTGTTCCCTTACCCTGTGAGTAGCCTCGAGCTATTCCTAACATCCTGGACAGGGATTTAAGGCCCAGCATGCAAAGGGTGCAGGCTAGTAATCCCCTCCCCTCTTGGATTTGCCTCTCATTTCCAGCCTAACACCCAGCTGTTGATTCTGCTTCTCTTTGGGATGATGTTTAACATTGGATGCGGCCAGGGGCGGCGGGTAATGTAGGGAAGGGAAGACATTGCCTTCCTAAACTCCCTAACCTGCCCAGATGCCCGGGAGGGGCCGGGCTGCACCACGCAGCAGCCCGACCTTGGCCCCCCGGCGGCCGGGGAAGTCTGGGACCGCGCCACGCGGCAGCTGTAGCCCTCATCTGGGATTGGGCAGGGCTTGGCGGGGTGTGGAGGGTGAAGGGCATGAAGGGGCACAGACGTGGTGGTTTTGGGTGGAAGGGGCGGGGCTTTGGCTGCCTTCCCCAGCTAGGCCCTCACCCACCTCCCATGGCTGCAATATAATGGCTTCCTTCCTTCTGCTGCTCCGTTCTGACCTTGGGAAGGAGCCACTCGGCATGACTCCCTCCCCAAAGATTGCGAGAGCTCCTTGGTTTGGCCTGCCACTGCTCCCGACAGAGTTCCTGGTCTCACGTCTGTGCTGGGAGCTGAGGGCCTGTGTTAAGCTTGGCTTTACTCGGCAATAAATCATTAAGGAAGAGGCTTTCAATGTAGATAGTCCAGAGCCTGAATCCCATTGGATGTCAGTGGAGCAAGGCATCCGAATCCCCTAGGGCTCTTTGACTCTCGCAGCCCATGTCTCTAATATTGATGGATTCACGACCGGGCCGCTGGCTCTCCCCATGACCTCGGTGAAGAACCCCCCCTTCTATTCCCTGCCACTGAAGCTGGTCTTTGGAGGCCGGAGGACTCTGTCACTGCGGAATGAGGCATGTCCAGTGGGCAGGGCGTGGCCTCGCTCTGCTACAGGCTCCGTGTGTGGCTCAGGGTAAGTCACCTCGGGAAAATAAAAAGTGTCTCCATCCCCTTTCAAAAGAGCCAATGGACTCAATCCACAAAGGGACTCAGGAGCCTAAATCCCAGAATCAGCTCCCATGGCTGCCGTGCATTAGGCATCTGGATTCCTAACATAACATAAGAACATAAGAACGGCCGTACTGGGTCAGACCAAAGGTCCTTCTAGCCCAGTATCCTGTCTGCCCACAGTGGCCAGCACCAGGTGCCCCAGAGAGGGTGGACCAAAGACAATGATCAAGCGATTTGTCTCCTGCCATCTCTCTCCAGCCTCTGACAAACAGAGGCCAGGGACACCATTTTATCCCCTGGCTAATAGCCTTTTATGGACCTAACCTCCATGAAATTATCTAGCTTCTCTTTAAACTCTGTTATAGTCCTAGCCTTCACAGCCTCCTCTGGCAAGGAGTTCCACAGATTAATTGTGCGCTGTGTAAAGAAGAACTTTCTTTTATTAATTTTAAACCTGCTACCCATTAATTTCATTTGGTGTCCTCTAGTTCTTATAGTATGGAAACAAGTAAATAACTTTCTTTATTCACCCTTTCCATGCAACTCATGATTTTATAGACCTCTATCATATCCCCCCTCAGTCTTCTCTTTTCCAATCTGAAAAGTCCCAGTCTCTTTAGCCTCTCCTACCTGTGCCCCCAGCGCTACGCTGGACTGGCGAAAGTGGAGGCACATGGAAGCAAGTCACTTCTGGAAACTGAGGCCCGAATGTTTCTCTTGAACTCAGTGAGCAGGCGAATTGAATAGGAGGGGCCGGGATTTCCTACCAGTGGGGTAGCTTGTATGGCGTAGAAGTCTCTGAACACAATGAAGTCTTCTGAACTTCTTCTCTGTACCAGGTAGAACCTCAACCTGTTGGGCAACCCTTCGCTACCTGGGAATTTAGGGGTTGGACGGCCACCTCGGAATGTCTTGACAAAACTCTGTTTGTCAAGTGTGTCT